TATATATATATATATATACATTGAGGGATCAATTTCAATTAATTTAAGAAATATTCTGTACACAGATATCAGAATGGTGGAATGATAAAAATATTAATCAGTTGCCGTTGCTACCATATATTTCGAGCACGGCAACCGTGCGCAGTACACAGATGCAAGAATGTCGCATAGGCGATAATTCATTGATCGAGGAGAAAACATCGTTGAAAAATAATCATATTGGGCCTAACAGCATCGTAGAATCGAAGACAAGAATATCTCAGAGTGTAATAATGGGACATGTAACTATTAAGCAAAGGTAAGTCGAAGTATTATTGAAATTATTTGTCTATATATATTTTACGAGTCGCTATTTTTTTTTTATAGATGTGTTATCCACAACTGCATATTATGTAATGGTTGCATCATTGAGGAAGGCACCGAATTAAAGAATTGCGTAGTTGGAGCACAACATATTGTAAAATCTGGTAGCCAACACTCTCACGAAGTACTCACTGATGCAGATAGACTCATAGAAATTTAATTTAATTTTGTATTTTGTATACATTATTGTAAATATATATAATTAGATTATATTATTTGTAAAACATTTTAAATGTATAAAAAAATTGCCTTTTATATAATAATTCACTATTTAGATTCAGACAAAGCAATGTTACTATAAATTATGCAACAATTTTATATTTAGATTGATAAAGTATATATAATAATTTAGATTAATATTTTTTTGCAAGAGAATTAAATCGTTTTCTATTAAAATAAAATTTTAATCTTATCGATTACTTAATATGTAGTTTGTTGAATAAATGAAGTTAATTAAATTTATTAATTTTTTTAAATGAATTATCATCTGAGTAAAAGTTTCGTAGTAGTTCCAATCGGCATCTGCAGAGATCGTCTCGTTCCCTATTAATTGAATTCTGAACGAAGAAACGTTCGGATTCGGAACGGTACATCGCCTTTTCTTTTGGAGTACTTTTTCTTCTAAAATGGTGAGCATGGATTTATGTCATTTAAATCGATTTATTTTGCAGCGATCCTAATAGCCGGTCAATTGATCGGTGCGAAAAAAATGTTCTGAATTTTCATAGAATCGATATAACTGAATAATATCGGGCAAAAGAAAAATGTTCCACACAATAATGACGTGATACCGGTTTACAGGTTATGTTATAATAATGTTTACGTGATAACACATTACTTATTCACTTATTCCCTGAAATATATTTATCTTTTGTTTATTTATCTGTAAAGATAGTTTAAAATAACTCTTCTTTATATCGTATTATTAAGCCATCTTTTTTTTCCTTTAATTTGTAATGGAATCATATGTTACAATTCTGTTTTTTTTTGTGTTCACAGACGAAAGGTACATCCAGCTTTGGTAAGCGACGTAATAAGACGCACACATTGTGCAGGAGATGTGGACGTAGTTCCTATCACATCCAGAAGTCACAATGTGCACAATGTGGCTATCCTGCTAAGAAAATGCGTTCATGTAAGTTGCCGCTATATAATATAATTTACATAGAGGATTGTCCATTATGTTTATTCAAATATCAAATATTTAATGTTAAATATTAAATGTTAATATAGAAATATTAATTAATGTTTGACGACTATAGATAACTGGTCGATCAAGGCGAAGAGGAGGAAGACCACTGGTACTGGCCGTATGCGTCATCTTAAGATCGTACGCCGTAAATTCAAGTAAGCTACAATGACTATGTTAGAAATTTGATAACTAACGAAAATTAAAACAAACTAAAAATCTATATTTTTTTTAATATTTATTTTTTTTTACTCTTAATCTTTTTTATTAAATAAGAGATGTAAACATTATCTAATTTTTCTTGTAATTTACATAATTTTTTTAATGTACATAATTATATAT